CATATGCTTTAAAATTCTAGACATTTTGCACTTCAGTGAATCACTATGAAACGTTTAAAATATTTTGAAATTGAAATATGCTCCTCGGTCAAGCTCTGCATAATTTTCATTTTCATTGAGCAGTGAACTGTGCTGAATCTGCTACAGAATTGCAAAATCGAGGTCAGATTATGCAAAATGGGAAATCCTACAAATCTGAGATGACTTCTTGATTTCAACACAAAAAGTCTAAATTCAATGTAGCACAATTGTAGACAAAATCACATATCAGGTTATTATGTTTGTATTTTGCAAAGCCCGCTTAAACAAAAGATGTCCACCTGCCGGTATGGTTTCCACTGTTTATGCCAGTAATATGACAGAACGAAGCAGATAAAAACAGCAAGCAAGCATTGTAAAATGTTGCGCGTAGAAGTTCAAGACGAGGAGCTTTCAAGAACAGCATCTCAAAAAGAGAGATGAGATGTCTGAAAGATTTGGAGGAGTGAAGAGGCAGAGCAGGCAAAAGGTTAGTAGTTAATAGGGATGATATAAGAATGAAAGTTATGGTGGTTATAATTGAGGGCTAGTGAGTTTAACTGTAATTCTTGATTGGATGATAAGAATACTCTAAATACTAAGCAATAGGGAACATCGACTGAGTGCAAATTTATCAGAAAGGATTGGTTGAAAAAAAGATATTTAGATTGGCTCAATTTGACTGAAGCCAGCCCAAAGCCTGTACCTGAATATGAGAATAAAATATAAATATATATATAATATAAAATAATATTAAAAATACTACAAATAATACTGATCCTACTTTAAATAAAGTAATAATATCAATGCTTTTTGGTAGTCATATTTAAAAAGTCAGTTATCAAGAGGCAAGCAATCAGCATTAAAGTGCTGTCGGAGTAAAACAGGAGCTTCCAATAGGAAAACAGCGATTGCCTAAGAAATGTTGCAGTCCTACATGCGGATTTATTCACAGAGTACATGACTGTGAGATAGCAGGGGAAATCTATTATATGTCCACCCATGTCCACACCCTCTGTCTAGTGGTGTAGGTACAGGGGTCTGTTGTACCTGAATGCCACTCGGATGCCAGTCAAACCAGAGCCCAACCTGTATCAGAGAGCTATTGCACCATAGCACATGCACACAGATATGGCCTCAGTGTTAATTGTAACTAATTAGGTAACTGTTTAAAGCCACACACAGTGAGCCACGATGGCAATGGGCAGAGGTATTCTGCTGAGATTAGAGACATCTCCCAAATGCCCTCCTGGTATCTCTTGTGCCAACCAGGAGGTAGCTGAGTAGAGTGATGTAGCAGGGCCGAACTCTCCTGCTGTTTTCTTCTCTCTCCCCAACATCCCAGTATCTTGTGATGTGCAGCAGCATAGCCCTGTGTGTAAAGGGACATGATGGAACCCACATAACACCAGTGCCCCAGACCTGCATGGAGGAGGCAGGAGATAGGAAGGCACAGGATATGAAGAGGAAGTAGTAAATGGGGGATGGGAATGGAGGAGAGTGAAAGGACCAGAGTCAATGGTAATGGGGGGTGGGGGAAGACTCTATGGGAGGGTTGAGCAGATTGCATGAGAGTTGGGACCTTCAATCTGTAAGAGGCATGGAACTAGGGGCATTGAAGGGGAGGCCCAAATAAAGAACCTTCCTCTGGGCTTGGTGACCCTACTACATATTTGCCCTGTCTGCTGCTCCCCTATGACTACCAAAAAATACAATTTAAACACATTTCCTCAAATACTATTAATAGAGAGAGACAGTGAAAAATGTGTTACTGGGAATACAATAAAAACCACAAACTGCAACAAACAGTGATGTCCTTCAAACATTATACATGAAAAGAGTAGAAATGTGAATGATTCTGTTAGTTTGTTTCTTCTATGACTTACATATAGTGTGTCAAAACATATATAAAAAAAACAAAAATTTCAAATAATAATGCTGTTTGCAAAATACAAATCAATGCAAAATGACGCAACTTGCTCATTCACTCATAGTCCTGAACAATACTCCGATATAATTATCACCCCATCACATTGATTGTTGAGTCATGGCATGGGCATGTTTGGGTCAGCTAGGACAGACGGCATAGGGATGGAGATTCTCTGGCCAACTCAACAGTAAGCCCCCATTTAATTACACAGCAGGAGGAATTAAAGCTGTTAAGGCCACACTCCATATACATACTCTCATTCAAATGCTAGATAAAAGATTTTGAGTGAGTAAATGGATTTGACATAATACCTCCTCCCATCATACACCACAAAACACTAGGAATGGGGAAAGACACTGTCTGCACTGTCTCATGCTTGGGATTATTAGTTGGACATCCATTTCCCGGGATCATAATTATTATTTTTACTTATGCCCTATAGTTATCAAATATGTGTTTGTGAGTTCAGGGAAATAAAACTACATTTAAAATTCATATTGCTGTGTTTCTCTCTCTCTCCTGGAACTGGGAGCATTTATGGTGGTTCTTTGTCCAACACTGTTATAATGCAATGTGTGCCTTGCCTGTGCCAGGACTTTACTGGATTGTGATGTCACTTCCTGCATTTTTAATATACATTTATAAGAAAATTACACATTACATGAAAAAAAAGCTAACACAAGTTATAGGTTATTTATTCATTTGGACAATTTACGGAGAAGTGATGGATCCCCTTTAATCAGCAGTTCACATATGGGGTGTAGAAATATAGGGGGACACTTTCTGTATCCACCCGAGGTAATATGGTTTCTAGGTAATGCATGCATGTCTTCCACCGTCTGCCATCTTTCTTTATGTTTCAATTGTTTTTCAGACTTTCAGCAGAATTTTTTGTTGTTTGGCTGTACATTAAAAACATCCGATGAGATCAGAAATCTGGCATTAAAAGAATCTGATGCATCTCAAGTGCAGGAATTGTTGACAAACCAATGTGTATGCCAGGCTTTCTGTACTTCTAAATGAAGTTTTTTGTGAACAGTTAATTTGAATACTTTTCTCTAAATCAACAATATAACCTGGCTTTAAACAGTTTAAAGCCTTATCTTTGTATACTGTCATTAGCATATTGTATATTGCATTTGTATATTGTATTTTTTGTAATATTGTATCCTGTTTATAACAATGCGATGTTTTGTGGACCCAGGACATACTTGAAAATGAGAGAAATCTCAATGTATCCATCCTGGTAAAATATTTTATAAATAAAAAAATGAGTGTCTTGATTACTTCACCTACGATTAAAAACGTCTTACACATAAAAATAAATTGTATGTATTAATTATTGTTAACTTTTTACCTTTGAAATAATATTTTTTGCTACTCCTTTTAATTGTTTTCATTTTCGTCGTCTTTGGATTTACCATGAATGAATGTTTCTCACGGTTTTCAAACGCTGAGAGGTAAGGAAGGAAAAGACCATTTTAGGCGCATATTTATTTAGCCTCTAAGAGAGCTGCTTTCTTGCAAAAGAACAGAGAATGTCATCTTATCCAGTCCCAAGTCTCTGTAAGAGGCTTTGTGTGACATGGTGTTTATTTGTCTTTGAGAGGGAGCCGACTTGTAACAGTTCTGAGTGCTTTAACCGTTGAGTGAAAGAAAAGGTGAATAGTACACTGCTTTAAGGGTTAATACCCAAGGACTGCTAAGGGGTTAAATGCAGCTCTGCAGTCAGTAGTACTTACACATAGATACATTGTAACTGAGGATATTAGCTGTTAAGAAGAAACAGAGGATAACAAGAAATTGTGGACTTTCAATTTACAGAGCCATGTCTTCAGATCAGTGCCTTAGCTTGATCACTGAGTCCATTGGATGAGAGGAGAGAAAACCTGCACATAGTGGTTTATTTACTGAGCTCCAAATTGTAGTAAATTTAAATCTAGAATGGCAACCTGTGATCATGGCTAAACTGGAGAATGTTTCCAATTGTTGCCTATTCATTTTGCCATTTGGTTTGCAATTTACTACATGTTGGCATTTGGTACAAAACAACCCTTCAATAAGCAACAAGCACAGCTCTGTACAGTAGTATGTTTATAAAGTCCATGCTCTAATGTAAAGCATGTAATGTATGTATGTTCTGCGAGCTACAACAGCGCCACCTACTGGCCACATTGCTAGTTGCTGCTTCTCTTGGAAGATCCACATACGTGTACATCATTGTGAATGACATTTACACTGTGAAACAAAAACTACCCTCAGGAGAGGAGTTAAGTCTGACATTATAAACTTTGCCACTGTCCGGGGGGCTTTACTTTCTTGGAAATCTGGGGATGAAAAAAAAAGAGGGCTGCTCTCAATGCATCCCCTACCAACATCCCATACGAAATTAATCCCTCAAGAGGTATACAATAACAACTACGTGCATGAATGCCTTAACCCTTCCTTGCCCAGGACATTTTAGCAATGAATGAGCTGTGCTCTACCCAGTACACTTTAACTCACATAAAGGGATTTGCAAGCCACTGCTTCATTTAATAGAAGGGTTAATAGGTAACATTCTAAATAAAGATACATTATTTCTTTATCTATAGACAGAAAGTTCCTAATTCATTTTTGACACACACAAATATATATTTTATATAAACACATTTTTCTTTACACTAAATTGTGTGTGTGTGTTCAATTTATATATCTATATTTTTTTATAATTGATATATATATATAGTTTAAATGTAAAATATGTGTGTGTACTATATATGTGTGTGTGTGTGTGTGTGTGTGTGTGATATATACATATTACACTTACACACACACACACACACATATTCCTAATTGTCCCAAATCTGCCACTATGCACGTACAGGAAACGTATTGGTGACAAAATCTATTGAAATCCCAAGTGGTTGTAATTAGGTTAATTAAATTGAGTAGGTTTTTATTTTAACTGTTGATCCTAGCCCACTCAAAAAAACTTTGAATGGGTAAGAGAGACTTTTTTTCCCCAGTAAAAAGGCAGTCAGTCCCCTCCCTCCCTCCTTCCTCCCCGCCCCTATTAAATAGCAGCCCATCTAGATGCTGTACAATTCACTGGTTTAAAGACCCCCTTAACTTGAAGGAAGAAGTAGTGCAACTCTAAGGGGATACGTCTGTGGAGGAAGAAAAGGGCAGAGAATTACTTGCTTGATGCTTTAGAGAGAAGGTTGTGTTACCTCTTGTCTCATTCTCCAAGCTGCTCACACTGATGTTGCACCGCTGGGCTGCTTACCAACTCTCTCTAGATGCACTGCCACTGTGACCAGATCTCTACAAGCACTGGGCAATTCAAAAGAATAAGCTGATCTTGAATTTTTTTTATTTTTTTTTAGATTTTTTTATTCTATATATATTTTTTTAATATATATTTCTAGTCTAGATAGATTTTTTTTAATTTGAAGACACGTGGAATACTTCGAGTTACCTACATGTGCCAATGTCCATGTAGAGAATGTTGTTGTATACAACACTAAGAAAAGTGAAACTTTCTTTTCTTAAAAAAAAGTGATTATTTCTTTTTAATCCTTTTTTAAAAACATTTTTTATTTCACTGCCTTCATTTTTGCCTTTGTGTCCAAAAAACACACACACATCAAAAAAAAAAAAAAGCAACTGATCCATTGATCTGATATTACCTCAGTATTGGAAACGTCAGAAGGAAGCAAGCATCCACATTCAGAGCATTGAACTCACCGCAGGACTCAAGGATCACTTACCCCCAAGGTAAAGTAAGACTCATTTATTTATTTATGGATTAGCTCTTTCAAATGTTTTATTACAGATTGCTGAACGTTAACAAAGTGTGTTCTATTTGTAACATGTGTGTGTGTGTGTGTGTGTGTGTGTGTGTGTGTTTGTGTGTGTGTCTGTGTATATATATATGTATGCATGAGCTGGTTATATTTTATAAGTGGTCTATGAATAATATTCTGATCATTTAATTAGAATTAGCTAGGTGTCTATATATATATTTGGTGATTTCTGTCTAGAATGTTAGAATGTTGCACTAAGTATTATGTTGCTGTGTTTAATACTGTATTGATAGATGTATAACAAACTGTTAATACTGTCACTTTATTGCTCATATTAAGTATTAAGTTTGCAAATCACTAAACCATTTCTACAGGATGATAAAATGTATGCCTCCATTGTAACCCATGGCTGGGGAGGCAATAATGAGTGTACAAAGAGAGAGAAGGTGGGTGTGGGGGTGGGAGTAGCAGCTAGTAAGGAAGGAGTACGTGCCAGGGGTTTGTCTAAGTATGGGGGTGACAAGTACAACTTGGGCTGCAGTGACAAAAGCCATGTGATGTGTTACAGACACCTCTATTCCATTCATAGAGCAATGAGTGAGGAAGCAAGCATAGCCAGGGGCAAGCTTTTACACCTCCCCAGCTTGCTATTAGCATATGACAGAGGTGGCTTATCTGAGATGTCCTATTTAATGCTCACATTTACTTTGTAGCATCATCCCCCATTCTCTTTCAGAAGGATTGCTGCAGACAGGCATAGACTGACTTCCTACATTTAAACATAGCCCCAGGGCACCAAAAAAGGCACAGTGCCTGATGCAGGTCATTAATGCTGAAACGTGGCACTTAGGATGAAGTAATTAGGAGTAGGGCTAACCCTGTCCTGAATAGGGTGAGGTTTGTTGGCAGACCCTCAGGATTTAGATAGCCTTACAGTTTTTCAATAAACCACATGTATGATCCCTCCCTGTTTGGGAATAGACCCAGAATGATCATTGAATCAGTGGAGGAGAGATAACTTTATATGCTACATTACAATAGTCTGGTAATACAAAGTATCAGGCAAGCAGGGAATCTGTGTGATATTGAATGATACAATGTGAACAGAGCATGTCTGTGTGTCCAGCTGTCCAAAAACAAGAGCTGATTTTTAGGGACTAAAGTTTGGATTTAGTTTTTTTTTAAGCAAAATCTGCTGTGTGCTGCTAGCTGTTTGTTCAGACTATGTGCAGAGAAGTGAGGAGTGTGCTGAACATTTAATCATAAAATTCAGCTTTTACACAGAGCCCAGTGTGTTAGCTCTTGGCTCTGATCCTGTACAGCATGCTTGCTAGCTAATGAAGTTGCCTCTTGTACTCCTTGCCCACGTGACGCGTGTGAGGGAATACCTCTGACGTCACACAGTCTAGACCTCCCTGTGAGGCAATAAGCCCCCATGGCTGTGATTGGCTCCTTGATGTAGGCTGGAGTTCCCTGCACACAGTGAGGGCTGGTCCAGCAGCCTGTGTGAGGATAGGGTAGAGAGGGGCATGCACCAGTTCAGTGATGACAGCTTCTGACAGTGATTTGGTCCTTCACCCTGGGTGCCTGCAGAAGGGAAAGTGCTATCTCTAGCAGCTCTAAGAGAAACACGTTTTCCATTGAATCTTTCCAGTCTTTTTTCATGGGCTTTGAATTCTTCACTAACACCTTCCCCATTATCTCCTGCAAGCACTAAATATAGAGCATCTGTGTTTATGTCTTCGTTAACAGTCCTTCTTTAGAAATAGCTGCTGGTAGAAAATTATTGTCAGGCAGAACTCAAGGGCATTAGTACAACAGCCAATAAAATAAAATTATATAATCTATATATATATATATAAAATTATGTTTTTTATTTATTTATATATATAGATATATATATATATATATATATATATATATATATATATATATATATATATATATATATATTTTTTTTTTTTTTTTATATATATATATATATATATATAATATTTTTTTACTACTTAATATATATAGAAAAGTAAATATTTATTTATTATTACTTTAAGAAAACTATATATTTCAATGTAAATGTTCTGGCATGCCAGGGGAGGCTATAGGTACAGAGCTACAACACCCGTGTTGTTTTCTCACTTGTAGGACTGGCAAAGCATCATTAGAGTTTTAGAGTTGTAGTTATGCTAGGGATCTATCTGGAGGTACCCCTTGTATATGTCAACCTAAATATTAACTTGTGAGGACCACCCATTTACTGGACTGACATTTTAGGAAGGCAAAGCTATAAAGTATAGTGTCAATCTTTATTATACTTCAAGCAAAATTCACTTATATCTATATCTATATTACTATGTTATGACGATGCTAAGTTACACATACTTTGAAGAATATTGTATTACACAATGCTTTCACTGTACTTAAAGCATCATTTAGAATGTTATATATGTTTCTAAAGAATGTTTGCATGCAAAGTAACACTTTTAATCATGTGGATCAACTTACCATCATAATAACAACTTTATATTGTTTTTAAAAAGGGAGGTGCAATGCACTCAAGTTAGGGTCCCATTACAATGGAAACCGGTAACACAGATAGAAATATCTCCTTTACTGGATCATGGAGCAATAAAGTGCCTCAGCGAGCCCCTTTCATTGAACAGGCCTCTTACAAAGCTACTGGTTGCAGTTCTGCAATTCTGATCTTTTTCTGCCTACCCAATGATGGCAAGGCATAATGGAAGTTATACTGCTGCCCAATTCTTGGCAGTTTGAGATTTATTTACAGAGTTAATACATTTAGCATTGATTAAGAAGATGACTGGATAGTAAGCTAACACAATGTTCCGTCATGTCTGTGGTTGACTATAGGTTAATGATACTGAGAAACCCGAAGCTGGTCCTTCAACTTCTCATCCTTTAGGTGAAGGTTTATTAAGTTCTAGCGTCAAACTATGCACACAGGTTCAGTGATTATTAATATCCAAAACATACCTAGCTAAAGGATGAGTCAAGAGCATTTGGCCCATATTGTGTCATCAAGCGTTAACTACAAATCAAGCTGGGTGGCTAGACCTGTTGGCAAACTTTATGCAATTTTATCTCCCAAATAAAACCAGACATTTTCCTAATCTTAAGAAATGTGAATTAATTACCTTTCCTTACACTTACCATTGACATCCAACAAGAATCAGTGCCTGGTCTTTTATTCTAGGTCTACAACTTCTTTCAGTTACTTTATAAATCACATTTCACGTCAGTGTCAACTAAATACTTTTCTTCTCTATTGTCCCATCAGAATCCGTATCTCGCATGTCACCTTACCTAAGCTAAACTTCTGAAGCTAAACTTCTAATGAACTAAACTAATCATGTCCATCCATTTAACTTCCTGCCTTGTATGCCAACTATTTCTTGCCTGAAATAATGTTAGAATCTCCCCAACTAGCCATCCATGACACTATGGAATCACTTTTGACTTTATCTCTGCTACATAGCTCTTTTGAGCTGGGTCCTCATCAACCTATTGTTCATGTAACATTTTATATTGTTAAATTTCACCCTTTATAATATTGTAAAGCGTTGGCGCTATATAAATGATGATAATAATAATAAGTATTCATAAGTATTCCTCGCTGCCTGATTCTGTCTCATTCACCTTAAAAAAGTATTTCTTATATCTATTCTACTATGAACTTTCTGCAAAACCTCTAGTTCATGACCTCATCATGTCCCATTACTCCATCATTCCATTCTTACTTATTTTACTGACACACAAGTGACTCAATTCCGGTCTTCGCAAACTGCTACCACCTGGCTCAAACTCAATTTCCCCCTCTTTTAAATTATGTTTTTATTGTACACACTCAGACTTACAAAGGCCTCAGTGACTCTGCTACCTTATTCTACGACTACAACCAAATCAAACACTTCTCGTTTAATCTCAGCTCTCTTCTTGTGGGGTAAAGCTCATTGACCCGTTATTATATCCTCCTTATCTCCCATACATGACATTCACATTTCCTCAGGTGCTTTAGAGCTCTGGGACTCAAACCATATGACCATATTTTCATCTATGGTATTAGTTAACTTGGATACACTCTTATCTTGTTCTTCCTGCCCCTGCCCTCTTAGATTGCAAGCTTTCAGACCAAGCCCTCAAAACCTACAGTGTCATGTCTGTCAAAAATAGTTTTTACTGTACCTTTCCATAAATGTGTCCATACTGTGGATATATTTGACATTCTAAAATCAATGTGTTATGCGAGTGAATGAAACTTGTAATGACACAATATATTGAGAATAAGAATGAATGAATAAAAATAGTAGAATGACATAAAAACATGTTTTAAATCATGAGGAAGGAGAAAGATGATAATCACAAAGTTGTTTATCAATGACATAGTTAGTCTTTTTAGTGCACAAAGCTAGAGGATTTGATAATTTTTTCTATTGTTTTCTTATTATCAACAAAATAGTTAAAACAATTTTGGAGGGCAGGGGTTTTCCAAGGGCTCTAAACTGCAAGATTTAATAGATTTACTATTGTATTCTTATGGCCACCATATTACCATGCTGTTACAGAAAAGAATGTGATTGTAAATTAGTCAACATTCCAAATCTGAGCCAGTAATCAAAGTAATAGTTTGAGAAATGTCATCCCTCCACTGCTCAAAGGAATGTAATAGTGTTAGGAGTACAAAATTGTATTCCTAAACTTATAGTGTCCCCTTGCCCCCTTCCTTCCCCAGCTATGTAAATGGTTAAAAACCCTTTATACACTCACCTAATGTATCTTAGCACTGAATCAGGCTCCTCCTCTGCTGACATCAGCATGATCCAGGAAGATAATGTGCATGTGTGGTGAGTGCCGTGCTACCATTAGGCCTTCGCTATAGGAAACCATTGACTCAATGCTTTACTACAGGGCTTTTCAACACACTGGATGTCTTCACGGAAAGGATGATGGTTTCCAGCATTGTTTCTTGGAGTTGAATTCAGTAAAACAACAGCAAGTGCCTCTTGTGTCTGAATGAGAGACAGCGACTATAGACAGTCTTAACCCGGCAATGTAAATATTGCAATTTCTCTAAAACTTCAATATTTTATATTTTCAATGAGATGAAGTGGTCTGAGTGCCTTTAGTGTCCCATTAACCTAACGATCAAATGCAATGTAATCTTTACGAGGTCTCATTGCCATTCCACACATTTCTTAGCACAAGTGATAGGTATAGAGCCAACTGTGACCAAACAGTGCCAAATTTGACTTCTGGTCCCAGTATCTGCTGTCTCAACATTTGTCCAAGTCCTTGCATGCCCCCTGTGACATTATAAGGATAAATATACACATAGTCACGTCTCCGTACTCAATACTATAAGACAGAAATACACACAGGGACCACAAATGCTCTTGCTTTCTGTCATTGGAACATTGAAGAGTGATACATTGCTAATGTGCCATCTATGTAGATGTGAGGACTGCACCAATTTATTAAAAAAAACCTTAAAAAGAGGTTTGAAAGGTTCCTTCTTTTTATAGTGAGGACAGATTATTTATTTTTAACATGTCAGTTTTTTGGGGGTTTTTTACATTTAATTGGACTTTCCCACTACCACTCCAGCAGTATGTAGTACTGTAGTATATTTCACAATATATGTTACAGATTTATGCAAATATGGCATCCTATCCCATTTATTCTGTCTTTGGTTTCCAAGATCCCCTATGGCAGAATATTCCGTCAAAAAACCGACATGATACACATTCCTTCCAATAAAGCATGCTCCATTGCCTAATCTGGTTAAATCTACATTCTCTAAATTAATCCATTATGCATTACTTCCTTTATGCAGATTTGCACACACTCCGCTATATTGACATAATAGTTGAAGATATTTAACAATGGAATTTTTAGGCTCTGAGAGGCAATTTGTTTATCATCTCCAACGCATTTGTTGTTTTCTACTATATTAATTTGGAGTGATATTTAAAATTCTTGCTGTGTCCTCATAATTCCTGGTTTGTTGGGTGGCCTTCAACTTTTGTCCATCTTTTATATGTTAATGTGGTAGGGTTCCCATAGACCAACCATTATAAGATATGTAAAGATCTAACATTAGTCTGCTGATGGTGGGCAGGTTTATACTATAAAATGCTTCCATCACCCCTCCCCCTCGCCCCTCCCAAAAAAGAGATTGCATGCACTCCAAAAATAGCAGATCTTTCAACCTTCTATTATTTTTTCTTTATTAAGGGCCAGCAGATTCTGCAGAGCTATACACCAGAAAGGGGTTACTGACAAACTGATGTGGAACACACAGTGCAAAACATTTAAAGGGTTACTTTAACCGTCTGTACAAATTAATTTAATATAGTTTACAATGCCCTACTTGGCATTACACACTATACCCCTGCAAACCTGCAAATAAAGTATCTGTAATGAATCACCAGTCGACCCTCCCAGCGCTGGTATTGACAACCTTGTCGAAGTCCATGCTGCCTGCATTTGGTCTAATCAAATGCTTCTCATAGAGAAGCATTTTATTAAAATGTTTCAACAGCTCAGTGTGCATGCACGCTCTCTGGGCCGGGAAGGAAGGCAGATAGAGAGGGTGGGATGCCTGCAAGGGAGAAGGTTGTTAAGTCTGTCATCAGTGCGCAGTGTGCGCTGAACACAGACATAACTTTTGCACAGGATTGATTTTAGGCAGAAAAAAGTCACTTGTGCCAGGGATGGAACTAACCCATGGCTCTGAAGTGCAAATATCTCTGGACGTACATCGTTTCATGCAGCAAAGCTGCAGATATATACTCCAGTCACTATGAACTCTCCGAAAAGCTGAAGTTGTCATAGTGGTTGGAGTAATGCTTTCATATAACATGCGCACACTGGTACAGGACAGCAAAGAGTCCAGTTCTTGTGAGCTTACAATGTAGCAGGAGAAGAGGTCGTGTGAGCAGTAGGAAATGATGGAATAGGTCAGTGATGACTAACCTTGACACCAGTCTAAAAGCTAGCTGAGCATCATGGGAAATGTAGTCCAGAAACAATTTATGGTGTCAAGGTTAGCCATCACTGAGATAGGTGGTCTTATAGGACTCATAGTCTGATTAGAAAAAGTCCATGATTATTTGTATGGACTGGCCATGTACCTATGGCTTTCTTTTAGCACTATTCATTTTAAAGCAGATCTCACATCTGAAGAAAAAAAAAAATAATAACTTCTATGGTATTGGTCATGTTATTATTATTATTTTTATTATTTAATGGTCAAGCGTTTTTTAAGATCTATGTAATAAAACACTTGCACTTTCATTTCCTGTCTCGTGTGCTAATGAAGACATAGCATTTCCCAGGATGCACCTGGCCTCCACAACCAGATTCATTACTCATTGAGGAACTGTTTAACCCTTTGTAACATAATACATTAAACATATATAGCATTAAAATGAGAGGTCTGATCCAGGTTGGAGTGCAGTCCTTTGCATTTTTTTCTTTTAGTCCAGTGTAACAGTGATGTGTTGACCTCACCCTGTATAACAAATTGCACTAATATTGCTTACAAAATAGACAATGGTGCACAAGCTAATTTATTGCGAGCAAGCGAGCAAGCAAGCATCACCACCGAAGGACAAGCCAAAACCTTAGTAAAGCTTTTTTTTTACACATATTTCAACTTGCCTCTGCATGGCATTTCTTTAAAAAATCTTTTAAGTCATTAAAACAAGGTGCATTTTAAGGAAAAAAAATGCAATATTGGGTAAGCAGCCCAGCTGTCCAACAAGTTAAATATGAGCTGTCTCATTGGGAATAATTGTATGTTCTAATGCAGTGGTTCCCAACACAGAAATCAGGAACCCCCTAAAAGTCCAGGATCTAGGGATTACCCATTTATGTCTAAGGTGTTTTTAGAAGAAGAAATAAAAGACTTTAGACACAACAGGGTAATCCTTAAATCCTGGACTGGTAGGGGGTACTTGAGGACTGGTTTGAGAATCCCTGTTCTAATGGATCAGTAAAACTTGGCTATAAGAAGAGCTCGCTTTAGAAAAACAAAAATCGTTGGTGAACAGGGAAAGTTAAGCATAGATTGATCACAGAAAAGTACAAATAACAATGTGAAAGTGAATAATTAACTAATTTTGGATGCCCCCAGAGGCCACATCTGGGACAACAGTACGTTTAATCTAAATTAATGGTATAAATAACTGTAAAAAAATACGCAACCAAAGTTGCCTATTTAAACAAAATTAAACGGTAATATGCTTCTACCTGGGTATTTATTGAAGGGATGTAAAACTAATGATATAATTCTAGTACTAACAGACACTTTCAACATTAAAGGACCACTATAGTGCCAGGAAAACAAACAGAGTTTTCCTGGCACTTTAGGGTTATTAGGTCCCCCTATCCCTTCAGCCACTTACCTGTCTCCAGTGCCGGGCTCCCTTAGCGCTGGTGACCTCTCCTCCTCCTGCCGACGTCAGTGCCAAATGCGCATGCGCGGCAAGAGCCACGCGCGCATTCAAACCGCCTATAGGAAAGCACTACTCATTGCTTTCCTATGGACGTCCAGCGTCTTCTCACTGTGATTTTTACAGTGAGAATCGCGGAAGCTCCTCCAGCGGCTGTCAGTGAGACAGCCACTAGAGGCTGGATTAACCCTCAGTGAAACATAGCAGTTTCTCTGAAACTGCTATGTTTTCAGTTGCAGGGTTAAAACTAGAGGGACCTGGCACCCAGACCACTTAATTGAGCTGAAGTGGTCTGGTCGCCTTTAGTGGTCCTTGAATTTTAAATGTATGTAGACATTTTAAATATAAGAAATTAATGTACATTTAGCATTTCAGAATTAAATTGTGACGTGGGACTATCCACATTTAGTAATCATGTACTGTTATGTTGTTTTTATTGGCATGTACACCCAGATACTATAGTAACTACCAAAAAATATTCTGAATGATGCTTTGGTATGTTCTTACAGAAAAAGGTCTGGTCATACATCACTTGCAATGACAACATTTTATGCCATTAAAAATCTTGGCTCAAAGAGACTCACGAAAATATCACCTTTAGCTTTTTATTAGCTCATTTGTATGACACAAATGGAATATCCTGGTTCAGAATACATTAAAACGCATTATAGTTACCAGGATATATACAGAAAGTATTCAATTTTTTCCCACTAATTTACTTGAGATTTATGCTCCAATCGCATCAACATGTTAATTTCTAAAGTAAATAATAAAATTCTCAAACCTTTAAATAAATTATGTAACAAACGTTCAGGAATTTTATTCCAAAATAGGAATACTGTAAACATTTTTTCAACTCAGCTATTTTTGCAGTTTGGGCATTTCAGTCTAAAATTTGCAATTCCCTAGTCGATTCCTGTGAATTCATGGTTCACTGAATAAGCATGTCTACTGTATGTTCATTCACGTGACTACATCTCCACCCATTGGGTTCTTTTCTGGCACCCATTTTGGTAAATGTAATGCTTATTTACTCAATCAGCTGTTCACTTTAATTTTCAAACTGGATTTTTTTTTAAATTCTTTAAACAAATGTGGTATGACTAGGGACTGTGTTTTGCAGTCACTCTCAACCAAATTGACCCTAATTGCTTTATATTAGTATCTGACACTCCACAAGCCTTTGATAAATTGCTCCAGAACTGCAATAAGTCTTTTACTGTTCTCAAAACAACAGATCTGCAGTAAGGTGCACATTAAACAGTACTTTGATATAATGCTGAATTTTTTTTCTAAACAGTGTCACTTCTTAGAACAAGTCTATGTTGTTAGGTCTTGCAACAAATTTACGGTTTTCCAAACTCTCGGTTTATCCTGAAAGATGATTTTGTCAGATTCCATGAACGTACAGTCCTTTTTGTTAGGGTAAAACATATGCTATTTAAGGTATAATACATGCATACCTTTTGCCACAGTGAGCCCTTTAAAATTATTGATGTTTTCTTTCTAACTGTATATTTCATGAAAGGCCCAAAGACTTCCCTTGGCTATAAACACTCATTATATTACAGCGTATATTTATAAATATCGTAAATAAACAGATATTGTAGAGTTTGAAAATAAAAATAGTTTGTTACCTGAAATTAAGATTAAGTTCAATTCAAACCATTTCACACTTTACTGCAATCTTAAAAAAGAATCACCCTGTAGGAAAATCGTTTTAACATCTGGTCTGTGCAAAGAGGTGTTTTCTCAAGTTAATTCTACTATCAAGATTTTAACATTTAAATAGAGCAACATAAGGAGGGTTTGGGCTGATTAACATTGTGCAGGAAAGGAAAGGGGGACTTCACAGAATAATGATGTAAGAGGGTGGTGTTCCAAAGTTAGCAGGAGCCAGCAGATGATGTTATGTCCTTAATCAGAACATGTTCGTGTTGGCTGATAAAACACAAAGAAAAAAACACTTATCATATTGTTCCCATGACCAAAATCCTTGAGTTTAATCAAAATGTACAATGATTTAGATATATACTGGCTGGTACCTATGATTCTGGAGGCCAGTGGAAATATTTACTAAAAGGTGACCTTTAGGCTTTCTTTCTTGATATTTTGAGATGGTAACATGTAAACCCCCTTTATAAACCACTGACATTGTTTAGATTTGATCTACTTTATATATATATATGAATATATATATATATATATATTCCCAAAAGCCGTATTGCCCAGCTGCAGTCTGTAATGCATGCTGCCACCATTGATTTTCCTCTCTAGTCGGTCCAATCACACCTCACCCCTCTGTCAGTCCATACATTGGCTTCCTGTATCCTATAGGAGTCAGTTCAAAGTGCTAACCCATACATATAAAGCACTGAACAACTCTAGCCCCTCTTATATCCCTTCACAGATCCATACATATGCCCCTTCTCGGTCCCTCTGCTCTGCCCGTGACCTTCTCCTGTCCGCTGCTCGCACCCGTACGGCCAGCTCGTGCTTACAGGACTTCTCATGGGCGGCTTCCTTCCTGTGGAATACCCTGCCTACCTCCATCAAACTCTCCCCTAGTCTTCAATTGTTTAATAAGTGCCTTAAAATCCATCTCTGTAGGAAAGCTTATGACCTCCCAGAGTAACCTCTACCTCACATACATGTCTCTTGCTCTCGCCTTACGGGCAGCACTCTACTCTCTCCTCCAGCTCTGCTTCACTCCCACCTTATTTGATTGCTATTTCCTGTCCTATTGTGTTTTATATCCCACCTCCTATAGACTGTAAGCTTGTTTGAGCAGAGCCCTCTTCAACCTATGGTTCATAAACCTAAACCATCTTTCAAAGACAGAGAGGAGTAAGTCACAATGGGTTTACCTGGAGCTAAATGAGTACAAGATAAAACAACCCTCATTTTCAATAAATATTGCACACACACATAATGACAAACATAGTGACTATGCAATGTGCTTTTAGCACCGGTCCTGTTAAATTTCTGAATTGCATAATGAAAATCATTTCTTGTTCATTGCTTGTATAAACCTGAACCTAACTCATAAAAACATAAACTAATGAGCTGAGTTAAACAAACAGGCCAATCGTGACCTGAGCATGGACTGGATCTTCTACCATTAACCCAGGACAGTGATGGGTAATCTTAACTTCCTAGATATTTGTGAATTACATTTCCTAACGACTAAGTACCGTGTCAAATATGATTCACATTTACCTGGTTATTACGATCATTACGGAATGTATTGGGAAAAAGGTTTCAAACTCATGGTCAACCCTGAAAAATGAAAACGGTTCTTCAGCATGTTCTAGAACTATGTATGAACTTTAAAATGACTGATCATTAACAATCCCCTTTGTTTTCTTGTTGCAGATGCATTGTGAAAGGTTTATATGTATCCTGAGGATAATTGGGACAACACTCTTTGGAGTTTCACTCTTACTTGGAATAACAGCTGCTTATATAGTGGGTTACCAATTTATCCAAACAGATAATTATTACTTCTCATTTGGACTATATGGTGCAATTTTAGCACTTCACCTCATCATCCAAAGCCTCTTTGCCTTTTTAGAACATAGAAAGATGAAGCGATCTCTTGAAACTCCAATTAAACTGAATAAATCAGTTGCCCTTTGTATTGCTGCCTATCAGGAAGATCCAGACTACTTAAAAAAATGTTTACTTTCTGTGAAACGGTTGACCTATCCTGGGATGAAAGTTATCATGGTCATCGATGGGAATTCAGATGATGACATCTACATGATGGACCATTTTCGTGAGATCATGGGCAGTGATAATTGTGCCACCTACGTATGGAAAAACAACTTCCACGAAAAAGGTCCGGGCGAGACAGAGGAATCTCACAAAGAAAGTACACAACACGTAACCCAAATGGTTCTGTCCAACAAGTATATATGCATCATGCAGAAATGGGGAGGAAAAAGGGAAGTCATGTATACAGCATTCAAGGCACTAGGAAGAAGTGTGGATTATGTACAGGTAAGTAATAAACCACTTTATGTTTGCCAAGGAAAACACTCTCCAAATAAAGAGACCTTTGTACGATCCGTGAAGTGGGTTTTAGAATATGCAAGTACCTTTTGAACACAGGGAACCATTCAGTCTATTAAAATCAGAGCTCGGTGCTTGAAAGCAGATTTCACTCTTGTATAAGGCAACTGTACAGATTGTAAACTGAAAGGAGGTACATTACATCATTCCACAAAATCTGACAGTGTGCCACCTCCCGAGTGAGTGTTTTAAAAATCCATGTGGGTTTTAAATGGGAGGTGATAGGTACAGTTAACTGTTTGTGCCACAGGGAGAGGTACTCCGTGGCACCCAGTCAACACAAAACCTTTTAGTTAGAGTTTTTAAATTTGTACAAAGCATAATTTATGTAAAAAAAAACCACTTCTTAACATTTGCATTGAAGTTGCCATTTTTTTTCTTTTTAAGTATATAAAACATGCATTTATAGCTGAAAGAATTCTTTCTAAGATTCATCTGGCATCCACGAGTCCTTTTAAGCCTGTACTCTGTGTAACACCTGAAGACTCTCAGTCTGTGTTAGTGTGAATTGAGGTAGAACTCGCTCTATTCCCAAAGGATCTAAGAGTTTGGGAATGTTTGTAGTCATGTGTAAGAAACAGTAGATCTGTTGCTACAGGGAGAGACTGCTGGCATTTTCAAACTAGAGAAATGCATTTAATGTTCTACTATCAACTATAATATGCATCACCTTCCAAACCCACGTGACTGTCTCTAGACTTAACAAGTCAGGCGGGGCCGGTTTTTCCCTCTGGACCCCCCAGTTGGGAGGGTCGATTCATCCCAGCACACTGAGTACATCTGGTGAAAGTTGTTTCAACATTTGACGTTAAATATGTGAATTTTCTAATCCCAGAACAGTCTAGTGGCACCATTCCAGGAAAATTGGTTTCACATTTTAGAGCAAGTATTATTTTTTAGTAGACTTTTTTTTTCTTTAAGTCGTGTTGCTTTTCCCTTTGTTGCACTAAGCACAGATTTGTTTGGAAATCATGGATACAAAGTGAACCTTTTTTTGTAACTGAAAATTCATGTGTTTTGAATTTTGAGTACACTTTTAATTACTAATTGCTATGCTGATAGAAAAATCTTTTTTCTTTTTTTTTGCCAATTTTATTTGCATGAAAATCCTTCAAAGAATATCCGTAGAGTTTATCATTATACAAAGTACTTGCCTTTGTATTTGCTACAGACAGCTTTTAATTCTTAAGTCTCACACGTCTGAGAGACACTCACATTTTTATTATTAATAGTATTAAGAGACATTCGCTATTCTCATCTATTTTATATCATATTTCAGCAAGTGTTAAAGGACCACTATAGTGCCAGGAAAACAAACTCGTTTTCCTGGCTCTATAGGGTCTTTGGGTCCCCCCCACCCTCAGGGTCCCCCTTCTAGAGGGAGGAAGAGGTAAAATTCTTACCCTTCTCCAGCGCCGGGCTCCATCAGCGCTGGGAACTTTCCTCCCTCTTCCAACGTCATCCGCCGAATGCACATTCAATCAGTCCATAGGAAAGCATTTCTCAATGCTTTCCTATGGACATCAGCGTCCTCTCACTGTGAAAATCACAGTGAGAAGCGCGGAAGCGCCTCTAGCGGCTGTCAATAAGACAGCCACTAGAGGCTGGATTAATCCTATTGTAAACATAGCAGTTTCTGTGAAACTGCTATGTTTACAGTTGCAGGGTTAACACTAGATGGACCTGGCACCCAGACCACTTTATTGAGCTGAAGTGGTCTGGGTACCTATATTGGTCATTTAAGTGTATTTTAAAGGCGCAGTTTAAATACAAAGATTTCTTCACCTTAATGAAATTATTGTAGATTATGCCTCTGCAATTTTAAAAATGGAAACAATGCCATTTCTGGAAAACAGCATTGTTTACATTATGCAGGTTTAATGCCTACTCATGACTGCCATTTTGACCACTAGGTGGCCTGGACTGAACTCTGTAGAGAAGCACTGGAATGGAGGATCATGGCTATTGCCATATGTGCTATGGTTCATCAAACTGACCGGCCAGTATTCATCACTCTTGATGACTTCACAAAAGGAGGACTGGGCTATGGTCTAGAGCAGGCATAGGCAACCTACGGCACCCCAGATGTTTTGTACTACACCTCTCATGATACTTTTCCAGCATTATGGGTGTAAGAGCATTAGGGGGGATGTAGTCCACAACATCTGCAGTGCCGAAGGTTGCTTATCCCTGGTCTAGAGACCGTGCCAATAAAATCTGTGAAAGTTGTTTGACAGGAACTGGGGAGACAGCACATGAAGATTGAAAAACAAACAAAATACCCAAAATAAAGTACACCAGTGAGAAAAGGGAAAAAAGATTTTACCCTTGAGCTTGCAGATTACAGGACGATTCCCTTAAATACTTTTTCAATGATGATACAAACAAAAGTAATCTGTAAAGAGTACGTAAAAAGGACTACAAATAGTGTAATACGTCCTGACACCAAAAATAAGGCTTTGCAGAAAATATTACACTTGCAGATTTAAAGAAGTTAAGAGCAGAAAGGATTTAATGTAGATCTTTCATTTCTTCATTTCTTCCCTTTACATCCAGGTATACATATATAGGAAAAAAGGGAGAAACAAAAACATAGTGCAGCGCTATTTTCAGTAAAATCACACTTTATTATATTGCACTCACAGAATAAAAGTTATTAAGGATCCCATCATAAGTCACTGTACTTCATCCACAAGGAAATCCAGGATCATCCACAAACAGGAAAATTCAGTTACTTGGAAGAACAAATAAAAAACAAACAAATGAAACAATCTTCAAATAAACACAAAATAAAAGTAAAAAAAAATGTTAAAAATTACCAAGCACTAAGTTTTGTCTTTCCACCCTACGCGTTTTGTCTGCCCTCGAACTTCGTCAGGGGTTTCCAGCACCTGTATACTATGTTGTGAAGCTCTTCATATTTGTAAGGCAAAATGTACCTGCCCCTCGATAGCCATAAGCCAATCGGAGGCGGAATTGCCGATGGTACATCTGTTGTTGATCGGCATCAGATTACATCCGCTAAGCTAAGACAAAACCTAGTGCTTACTAATTTTTTACATTTTGTTACTTTTATTTTATTTTGTATTATTTGAATTTTTTTTTTGTTTGTTTGTGTTTTAATTGCCCTTTCCACGTAACTGAATGCTCCTGTTCGAGGATGGTCCTGGATTTCCTTGTGGATGAAGTACAGTGACTGATGATGGGCTCCTTGATAACTTTTATTTTGTGAGTGCAATATAATAAAGTGTCATCTTATTGAAAATAATGCTGGACAAAGTGACACTCTAATTGGCAAAACACAGAAAGTAGCCAATCAGAATATAGTTTTAGTTTAAAAGGTGCTGATTAGTTTTTTTTTTATTGTTTTTTACCAAGCAAGTCTCATAACTTTTACATATACATGCTATGTACTATTTTGTAGAAAAATACTTGCTCTTTGATTAAGGCATTACTGATATTTTAGACAATGAATCTTGCTTTCAAAATAAAAAGGGATCTTTTTCCTTTTTTTTTTTTACTGTAATGTACACTTTATTCTGGTATTAGGGAGAAAAGCAGGACTTAATTTGTGTCTTTGTTCAACATGATAAGGGGCTGTTTTATCAGCGTTCTACTGCCAAGAATATAACAGCTGCAAATATTGTTTTTGTTTGGCTTTCAAAATGCTATAAAATCACATAAAAAGATCTTGTTACAGTGTAATACAGATGAAGTACAATGGCTTAATTGATGCAATAGAATTATAATCAAGCAGTTCATTTAGCATAAAGGAGTTTATAAACCATTTCATGGACAAATTAGCTGTCAATGTGCCCCTAATATTGGACATTTTTATGGATGAAGATTCTCTGTCTTTCATTCTACAACGGCCTTCTAGTGCATGTCTAAATAAGGACCATCTCCCTTTTTATAGAAGCTGCCAATCGTTGTGTATATTCTAACAGAGGCAACCAATCATTGTGTATGTTCTAACTCAGGCAGCCAATCATTGTTCACATTCTGCCTCTCCCAGCAAACAATTGCCTACACCCAACCAATCAACATGCACACATTCCCCTGAATGTCTATATCCAACTGTGAACAACCAATCATATTCATGCCTAAAAATCTACAGTATAAATATTATATCACATTTGTGCTTGATTGTGCAGCAAAGTACAGGATGATACTGCTTCTAATTTGAACTTATCTGTAGTCTGCTAAAAAAGCAGCTTCTAAAATTATGGCAACAGTATTTCCTTTGAACGTATTCATACATTTTAGAACATTTAAGCCTAGCATCAAAATAGCCTTTGAAGAGAAAGCATCTATAGAACCTGTAAAATTTGCCTGTTTTGCTTTGATAAAAGTGAATTTTAGGTCAATCACTAACCTCTGATTCATTTCTATCCAATCTAGTAAAGAAATTATCTCTGTTAAAATATATGATTAAATTTGTATGTATACGATACAATATCATATACATGTTAATTAAGCATTATTCTTTGAAAAAATTGCATTTTGGACTATACATTATTGCTTGAGTAAAATGTTTTTAACTTTGGACTTTTTAGGTATGTGATTCTGACACAGTGCTTGATCCAGCATCATCAGTCGAGATGGTTAAGGTCTTAGAGGAGGACATAATGGTCGGAGGAGTGGGAGGAGATGTGCAGGTAACTATCTTTTTGCCATTAAGTGAAACAAAATATACAGAGATTTAAATACTTGTTTATTCAGAAAAAGAAATATTAATACTTGATTGTATCACATTTATATATATATATTGGTATTTTGAAAACATTTAAAAAGCCTATCCAAAAATATTAAATCATTTAAAAAGTTTACAAAAATATAATAAAACTTTTAAGATACCTCCTGCTGATTCTGGTCACACTTTCAAAAGTACACAATGTGCAAATATCAATGGATTCATTAATTCGTTAGACAGAGAGCTGCTCAAATTACATGTATTTTAAAAATACAGAATTTGACTTGTACGGCTGTTTTCTAAAACATGACGTCCTATAGATGAACTCAAGTCTACCTTTTTTAAAGCCGTCTGTTTATTTTTAAATGTTTTTTTTGGGTTGGAAGAAACTCTCCATTATGAATATATTAGAAAGCCAGGAGTTCTTATAAAATGATATGTACGCCAGGAAGACCTTATCCCAACCCCCCAACTCTACAAACTGAGTTCCCAGCCAGGTCTTGGAGATGTTTCACAACCCCGAATCATACTGTGCTGCATATAACATCTAAAGATCTCTGTTTCCTGTTCGTTTTAACAAACTTAACCCCTTTGAAAATAATATCTCCTTGCCATCTTTAATGACATAGAGCCTGCTAAAATTCTAATTTATGATTGCGGTCTAACAGGAAGCTTGGAGGGCAGGACAAGTAGCCTTTACGTAGAAATGAATGTACAATATAACCTTAGGGTAGGAACATTTTTAACGTTGCCTTTTGATGTTTAATTTGCTGTACTATGTAAAATAATGTGGTTTGTTGTAGTTTGGATTTCTTTTTTAAATGTAATTACATCCATGCATTCAATTTTGTATATTTTCTTCCTCTGATTTTTTGTATGTGAAATAATTAGATGCAGAAATTAGAAAAGAGAAAAATCACACAGGACAGCATATGTTTTTATTTAGGTATGACTTGTTTAATTTTTATATTTTATATTTCTTAGTAATAAATCTACTTTTTCTTTACCCTCTACCAGATATTAAACAAATATGACTCATGGATCTCATTCCTCAGTAGTGTCAGATACTGGATGGCATTTAACATCGAGAGAGCTTGTCAGTCCTATTTTGGCTGCGTGCAATGCATCAGTGGACCACTGGGGATGTACAGAAATTCTCTACTGCACGAATTTCTTGAAGATTGGTATAATCAAGAATTCATGGGTTCACAATGCAGTTTTGGAGATGACAGGCATCTTACAAACCGGGTTTTAAGTCTGGGCTATGCAACCAAATACACAGCAAGATCAAAATGCCTTACTGAAACACCTACCGAATACTTGCGTTGGCTCAACCAACAAACGAGGTGGAGCAAATCCTATTTCCGTGAATGGCTCTATAATGCAATGTGGTTCCACAAGCACCACTTGTGGATGACGTACGAAGCTGTGATCACAGGATTTTTTCCCTTTTTCCTGATAGCAACAGTCATCCAACTTTTTTACCGTGGGAGAATATGGAACATTTTGCTCTTCTTGTTGACTGTTCAGTTTGTAGGCCTCATAAAGTCTTCCTTTGCCAGTGCCCTCCGAGGAAATATAGTCATGGTTTTCATGTCTTTATATTCAGTATTGTACATGTCAAGTTTACTACCAGCAAAGATGTTTGCGATAGCCACAATAAATAAAGCAGGTTGGGGGACATCGGGAAGAAAAACAATAGTAGTGAATTTTATCGGGTTAATTCCCATCACCGTTTGGTTTACAATCCTTTTCGGTGGTGTCATTTACACCATATGGAGGGAAACAAAAAAGCCATTTGAAGATTCTGAACAGACAGTCCTCATCATTGGTGCAATACTTTACGCGTGCTACTGGGTGATGTTATTGACTTTATACGCTGCCCTGATCACTAAGTGTGGTAGACGGAAGAAGGAGCAGCAGTACGACATGGTTCTCGATGTATGATGATAACTCTTTACATATTAAGTGTTCACACTAAATAATATATCAAAGCCTTAAGAGACTTTTGTTTTTGTGGTTAGGATCTATAGTATTATTGACATGGATTCGTGTCACTAAGGGAAATGCAACACTGCTGCTGGGACTTGAACATACACAACTTGTGGACTCTTTTTCATGAATCCAAAGCCAAAATAGTTTAAAACTATTGCAAAAATGAACACAAATATAACCAATGGAAGGCTGTCCCTTAACAGAAGGGTGGCCATTTTGTTTATGCACTTTTTATTGTGCATATGCCTGACAGTGTTATGTTCTATATACCTCACTGGTCATGCTTATGTCTGGTCATGGTAGGGAGAGTGAAAGGATTTTGAAAGGTATGTAAGCCTTAATCACACTTTTCTACTTTATTTTTCCCTGCCAAAGGTCCTAGTGAATAGGCCTAAAGGCTCGCAATAACTTACAACATAATTTATAAACTTTTTTTATGGATGGCCATTTGGTTGTCAAAAATAATGCCAATTGTGCTCTGGAAAAAAAGCACATTGGTTATGCTGTATTTTTATATTATTGTATTAATTATGTTTTTTATTTGTATGCCTTAAATTTTTTTTTACATATTTTATATTTTACTTATCTGCTAAATTGTTTGATTCTTTATTCTTTTTTAAAAAAATATTTTGTTTATTTTATTTTATTTTTTTGTTTGTTTTTTTTAAAATAAATTTACTTGTCATTTTTAAACTGGCCAAAATGTGAAGCTTTATAATGATTCATATTGTTCACAAAGAAAAGAATAAAATAATTCTTTGTACATTTAAGCCTGATGAATAGTGATTAATTTGCAGAATGTCTCAATGTTTTTCAAGACAGCTTGATTGGCCTCAAGACTAATGAGCTGTTTTAAAAAGATGGAACTCACCTTTGGTTTTAAATGCATTTTATAAATATGTTACCAATGCAGTATAAAATAATTGAAAAAGGAAAATAAAAACTCAGAATGCAAATCCCTAGCTTTTCCTGCATCAACAGTGACATCTCAGGAAAACATGAAACATCTAAGATAATTTTAATTATTGACTTATGAGATTTTAATTTATAAAAAAAAATCCATTAGCTTGAACAGTGACAAAAAAAAAAAAACAGATCTAAAAATTGGTTCTGAAGGTGCTTGGTGTAACACATAATCTAATGGAAATAAATGCTGGTAGATGGCATATTTGCAAAATATTTCAGGTCTATCAAACTGTAAGGGCTACAAGTGGGGGATCAAATCCAGGTTAGTAAAACATAGAAACATAGAAACATAGAAACATAGAATGTGACGGCAGATAAGAACCATTCGGCCCATCTAGTCTGCCCAATTTTCTAAAAACTTTCATTAGTCCCTAGCCTTATCTTATAGTTAGGATAGCCTTATGCCTATCCCATGCATGCTTAAACTCCTTTACTGTGTTAACCTCTACCACTTCAGCTGGAAGGCTATTCCATGCATCCACTACCCTCTCAGTAAAGTAATACTTCCTGATATTATTTTTAAACCTTTGTCCCTCTAATTTAAGACTATGTCCTCTTGTTGTGGTAGTTTTTCTTCTTTTAAATATATAAAACACTAGTTTCATGTTTCTTTCCCAATGATTGCATCCCTTTTGGGAACCTTTATTTACATTTTGGATACAGGGTTCCATTTTCCAAGGCAGAAAGTAGTCTCTGCAGGTTATTTTCAGACCATGGCTGGGTTTTCACCCCAGAGCCCTGTAAGTGCAGAAATCTAACTCACCCACTTGAAAAAGGTCCAAAATCAACTGCATTGATGAGGACATAATAGAGATCTGCAGAAAACTATTGTTAGAGGGCCAAAGGAACTCAGCATTATTTTGTGACTGCCATGTGGCCTTCTGGCACACACCTACTGACTACTAACAGCCAACACAATTTTTACAAAATGATAATGTGTCAGACAATAAATCTGTGGACTTTAGCCTACATTCAGGTTCAGAACCTGGAGCAGGGTCCTACAGCAGCTGGAGGTATCGTGCAGAGTGCTACACTTGGTAGGTGCCTCTTGCTTGCTTTTTTTTAAGGTGAGGGGTGCCAAATGCCAACATAGACAAGAGACAGTAGGAGTCCCATGCACACCCTGCAGAATGCCTTTAAGAGACATGTTTCTGACCTGTTCTCCAGAACCACGTGCATACAAGAGATGAGGCCAGCCTGCAGACTGATGATAGCAGCAGCATGTAGATTCATAAGGTAATCATCCCGCTTCCCCCAGGTATGTACCACCACTGTGAACATAGCCAGGCATATGCAACTTTCGGCACTCCAGATGTTTTGGACTACAATTTTCATGATGCTTTGCCAGCATTATGGGTGTAAGAGTATTATGGGGGATGTAGTCCACAACATCTGGAGTGCCAAAGGTTGCCTATCCATGACATAGACAGTCACTCCTTACTGCAGTTGGCTTGTAGGCACATGCCTAGTGCACCTCTTTACAAATCTGGCTCCGGTACAGATATTGTCACAGAAACGTGTTGAATTTATTTTTTGGAGAATTGGAGCTATTGTTCGGTCACACTCGCCCTTTGTAAGTAACCTAGACACAACCCATTTGAATTATTTACTTTTCCATATTTAATAATTATAACAGTTATATTTCTTTCCAGTACAATCCCTGAAACACTTTAATCTCACATGATAAATTCTAATGACTAATGACACACTGAATATATTAGCAGTTATTTGATTACTTATAAGGATTTTAAAATATTGCATACTGAGCACTCAGGAATAGGATTACAAAAAGTTGGAAAATGAGGAAAACATTTTTCAACTATTTCCTTTGGTATCTCACAAATAAATAAAACTTTTTCCAGACCTTTAACTTTCATACATAGCTTACACTAGACCTGTCACATTGCCAAATACGGTGTCTTACAAATCTTTGCCAACTCTGGACATGACATAGATTTCCATTAACTGGTTTATGGAAATGTATACAGGGGCACATTAAACATTATGAAGCATTATTGAAAACAGCAACCTCTTAAACATATTATATACATTTAGATATATTAACTAAGTTACATGATTGCATAGAAAGAGACCGATAATGTTCAGATTTTCCAGGTACCCATGTTTGTTTATCATATTGTTGAAAAAAATGTAGTTTTTGTCTGTTTATGTCTGTCTTGTCAGGTAAATTTCTTAAAATTTCAAGCGATGCCAAGCAGCAAATACTGCATTACTGTTTTTATGTGACTAAATTCAGATTATGTCCTCAAAAATAAAGAATAAAAGAAAAAGTTAAACATTGACTAGAATAAAATACAATCAAACAGATATAAGTGTTCAAGCACCACAATATACTATAATACAAGAAAATGCTCCAAAATGATACACTAAAAATATATATATATTTTTATATAAAGTATATTTTGTTCCAGTAGGAACAAAACCATTGACAACAGCTTCTACAGATCATTATTATTATTATTTATAAAATGCCAAACAAATCCCATAGTGCTGTACAATATGTGGACCATTGACAGACGCACAAGGAACACAGGTTGTTGAGGGCCCTGCTCAAACGATCTTACATTCTAGAGGGAGTGGGGTAAACTGACACAAGAGGTAAGGGTGGGATGTATTTCATGTACGGGAAAAAGCGAATCGTTTACAATGAAGGGTTAGTTTATTGGAAGACACAGTTGCAGGAGAGGAAGCAGAGTGGGTTACCAAGTTGTGGGGCGGGAAATCAATTAACAGTTTAATTGATATGCTTTCCTAAATAAGGGAGTTTTTAATGATCTTTTGAAGGAACTGAGACTGGTGGGAGTCTAACGAAGCAAGTTATGGTTTACACACCCTTTTATCATTATTAGTCCCAAGTCCCATGTAAGATTGAGAGAGAAATAACACCTTAATTTCATCATTTGTGACAAAGCCACTTTAATGCACCCTATTTGGAATTAGTTAATTACAAGGACAGTGCAGAGGTATTGCATTAGATAGTTAATGTTTCTCCCCTGGGGTGGCCTACTACAGGGCTGCACTTTTCACATACTGTCCATCAGCATAAACTAATTAAACACAGACACAAAAACATGGTGCCTCGGGTTACACTAATAGCATATGATCCCTACATACAGTATCAAGCATTTAAATGTGTGATGACAAAATCCCTATCAGTATACATTTTTTATAAACTCGAGTATTTACCTATGGACATCCATCTGCACTTCAATTGAATTAGTAAAGACCCAAGGACATACTATTTCCTAAACCAAGCGTTTGTTGGTAATTTCTGAAGTGGTGAGCAAAAAACGAATTAACTAGTGAGCCTGACAATGCAAAATGTTTGACTTGAATACAGAAAATTATTAGATTTTTGCATGAAGAAAATATTTGGTACATCCAAATTCATTCATCCTAAATTAAATATAATTTTATTTTTGGAAAAAACTGAATTTAATCATTAAATCAATACCGTAATTGAATTTGTCAAAATTGTATTAAATCATTTTGTTCATTAATGAAATGTAAGAAGTGAGGGGTTAAAACTGAAGCATTGGGAAGCTATTCCTACTTTTTTCCCTTGGTCTGTGGGAGAGTAACATATTTAAAAGGGAGGGAGCCCTGCCCAAATATTCCTTTCAAATATCAGTAGCAAGAGAGCATTCGGCAGCAGCATTTAACATTTAAATGCCCCATCCCAAAGCACTGGGATGGGGGTAGTGAACAGTAGGTAACATTGCGCAGTCCGTTGCCTAATAAAAAAAGCCTCAGAGCTACCTCCATGTAATTAAGCAGAAATATGAATTGCATGGACAAATTAACAAATCAACCACAAAAATAAAGTCTACAAATATATGTTGTATGTATGGTGTTATTGCAGAGCCCATCTAGTGCCTCCAGTCCCCTCACCACATGCCCCAGAAGCTACTTACCTGGCTGGGATGACTTGCCCCTGCAAGGCATACATTTGTAGCACCACTTTGACCCAGTCTGACTTCACTTTCCACTCTTGGGGGGTCCCACATCATCTGTCTCTTCCTGCTGTCCACAATACTCCCTGGCTACGTCCACAGGAATGGAGACCCCCCACTGCCAGCATGGCGTCAATCTGCACTGAGATTCCCATGAAGACATTCCATTTCAGAATCCCCTACATTCCTGGTTGGTGGCCATCCCTGTATTTTATATATTATATCTATGGATGGATGGACGGACAAACAGACAGACAAAATTATATACAGATTTAATTGGAAATGGCTGCAATTGGTGATGGATGGGTGGATAGATGGATGGATAGATGGATGGATAGATGGATAGATAGATAGATAGATAGATAGATAGAGAGATAGAGAGATAGAATTATATAAATAAATACAAATGTAACTGGAAATAGCTACAATTGGTTGTTATTGCATTTATTTGGATCAGCAGCATCAAAGAATGGATTTCATGGTTTAACTTGATGGAATTTAGTCCTTTTCAATCTAAACAACTATATTATTAGAGGAACACATAGTAATAATCATGGCTAAAGTTAGAATATAACTGCAGGATTTATGGTGTTTTTCTGGCCCCACGTTTCTCCTTTCTGATAGACTGGACATTTAAATAGTTTTTGTT